TTCTTGCGGGTGATTCAGACTCACAAAGTCACACATCTGCAGGTTGCGCCGCCAATTATGGTCATGCTCAGCAAGAGACCAGAGACGGTGAAGTACGATCTTAGTAGCGTAACTGATATCCTATGCGGTGCCGCACCACTGTCAAAGGAACTCCAGAATGAGATCAGCAAGAAGCTACAATGCGAGATTGTCCAGGGCTGGGGTATGACGGAGGTTACTTGCGGAGCCATACACGTGCCAGGAGGTACTGTAGATGAGTAAGTTCGTCCTCGCTATCTCGCCGCTCGCTTCTAATCAGCCACAGCTCCGGTAGTGTAGGCCAGCTAGACCCCAACTGCGAATGCATGCTTCTCGACGACGACGGCAACGAAGTCCCCGAAGGACAGCCAGGCGAACTTCATGTTCGTGGTCCCAACATATGTCTTGGCTACTGGCGCAATCCAGACGCGACTAAGGAGTCTATCTCACCAGATGGATGGCTCAAGTCTGGAGACGTTGCTATCGTGAAGAACGGATGGTTCTGGATAGTTGATCGAAAGAAGGCTAGTCACTTTTGCCTTTCAACACTCACGATTGGAACGAGTGCTAATACTACCCAGGAGCTGATAAAAGTCAACGCTTTACAAGTTGCACCCGCCGAACTGGAAGCCGTGCTCCTCGAATTCGACCCAATCGCCGATGCGGCTGCCGTTGGTATCACGCTTGATGGGCAGGAATGGCCACGTGCATACATCACGCTCAAGGACGAACACAAGGGCAAGACAACCGCGGAGGATATCCACAGGCACATGAAGATCAAGGTCGCAAAACACAAGCAGCTTGTAGGAGGCATCGTGTTCGTGGACGAGGTGCCGAAGTTGCAGTCTGGGAAGATCATGAGGAAGGTCGTCAAAGAATGGGCGAAGAAGGACGCTGAGAAGATGGGCAAGGCTAGACTCTAGACAGCGCTGTACTATAGTCATTATCTGCACGCAATATCAGCGACAGCACATCTTTGGCTATTTCGTATCCGAACATGATGCGTCTGGCACTCATCCGCTTTCAAAGTACCTGCAATGGGATCAACACCAGACGAGCGTGAACACAACAACATCCGACGCCTGATCATGAGATCACGCGTGTACACTACAATTTGCATGAATCAATGTTCTTTACTAAACTCAGCTTCCATGACATGTCGCTCTTGCCGACTACCCCCGCCTTCCCCACACATCCCAAAGTGGGCAAGCGTGACCTTGCCAGCTTTGAGTTCATGCTGGATCGCACCTGAACAACCCCGCGTAAGTACATCCGCAACCCCTCAGCAGATGCACACCCTTGACACCCATCATGCCGCCACAAGCATCACCGTAGTCATGCATCTCGGCCTGGCTAATGCAGCAAGACAGTGCGCGAACCCAGACGCGTTCTCGTACCGGTCGCAGCGCCTGCGAAAACCGGCCTAATCTATGCCGCATGCCATGCACCAACCGGCGTGCGAGGAGGTGTACAGTGAGATGTGTGAAGACATCCGAGGCGCGGTTAAACACTCCAGAGATGTTGGTTCGCCCCGATACAGTGGTCGGGCTGCCTCGCTATCTTCTTCATGTTGATTGAGTAGCATCTTCAAGCTCTATCTACTGTCTTCGAGGCTGCATCTCAGCATACCCTATCGACTTTGTCCTTCTCGCTTTTCGGTTTATCTCTGTGATCACGTATCTGTCACTCTCCTTTGGGATAGCACCTACCAGTCTTAGCAACCGCCACGATGGGGGGCTCGGAGATGCCAAACGGACTGAACGTCAACGGCTACGGTCACAACTACGACTACCCACCATCGCATGTTGATGGACCCTACAGAACCCTGGATCAATACCATTCCAAGCCAGCCAAGCTGCGAGTGGCATGTGTTGGCGCGGGTGCATCAGGGCTGTGTCTAGCCTACAAGATGGAGAAGATGCTGGAGCCTGGATCCTGGGAGTTGACGTTGTTTGAGAAGAACGCACAGTTTGGCGGAACATGGTACGAGAACACCTATCCCGGCGTCGCATGCGATATTCCATCGCATGACTACAACTTCACCTGGGACCCGAAACCCGACTGGTCGACTTTCTTCGCAGCAGGGAAGGAGATCCAGGGGTATTTCGAGAACTTCGCCGAGAGACATGGAAGCAAGAAGTACATGCAGTTGAATAGCAGGATCGAGCAAGCCAACTGGAACGATGAGGATGGGTGCTACAGCCTTACCATCAGGAATCCCAAGACTGGCTCGATGAGGAAAGATTGGGCGCACGTCTTGGTGAACGGTTCAGGTGAGTGTTAGACCAGCGTCATATTTACACGCCTAACAGATGATAGGTATTCTGAACAACTGGAAATGGCCAGACATTGAAGGTCTTCACGACTTCAAGGGTCCCGTCCTCCATTCCGCGTGCTGGGATCACAGCGTCGACTTCACAAACATCAACGCCGCCGTCATCGGCGTTGGTTCGACCAGCGTCCAAATCGTACCATCCCTTCAAAAGGTCGTCAAGGGGTTGGAAGTATACATGCGGAGTCCGACATGGATATCGCCTCCGTTCGGCGCCGGCGCACTGAACGACGACCTCCAGAAGGGGCAAGATGTCGACCCTGGACAACGGCAGTACACTTTCACCGAAGCCGACATCAAGAAATTCAAGGAAGACCCGGAGTATCACTTGGAGTTCCGGAAGAAGATCGAAGCAGAGATCAACAGCTTGTTCGGGATGTACCAGCAGAACTCAGAACTCCAGAACCAGTTCAAAGATGTTATCACCAAAGAGATGCACCGCCGTATGGGGCCTGGCCACGAGAAGCTAAAAGAGTTCATAATCCCCAAGTGGTCCGTTGGCTGCCGGCGCATCTCGCCCGGAGACGGCTTCCTGGAGGCTTTAGTGCAAGACAACGTAACTCCAGTCTTCGACGGCATCGAACGAGTAGTTCCGGAAGGTATTAAGACTAAGGACGGTAAGATCCACAAACTCGACGCCATTGTCTGCGCCACTGGCTTCCAGGTCGCATTCCAACCCGCCTTCACGGTTCGCAACGGCTCCAACGTATCCATCAAAGAAGACTGGACCACCGGCCCGAACCTCTACATGGGTGTATCCGCTCCTCGATTCCCGAACTTCTACACTATTGTCGGACCTGGCGCGACATGGAGTAACGGCACGCTCTTGCCGTCGATCGAGACAACCGTAGAGTATAGCATCAAGTGCATGAAGAAGATGCAGAGCGAAGGCATCAAAGCTATGAGCGTGAAGCAGGACGCCCTAGATGAGATCTACGCGCATTTTGATGAGTTCCACAAGACGACAGTGTGGCAAGAAGAGTGCCGGAGTTGGTTCAAGAACGGGCAGATCAAGAACAGGATCTATCTGTGGCCTGGTGCCGTAAGTACCCTTCAGCTTTTATGTCGCGCTTCCTTGCATGTGTCCCTGTCCCAATCAACGGTGGTGTCGCGCATACCCGACCTTATGCGCGCATCTCCTATCAACCCCGCACAAAGCTGTTCGCGACTGACTCATTCAATGCAGACGATACACTTCCTCAAAACCATCAAGACACCGCGCTGGGAAGACTACGACTATGTATACAGATACAAGAACCGGTTTGCTTTCTTGGGCAACGGCGATGTGAAGGCGACGGCAATGAAGGATATGCATGGCTTGAGCCCCTATATTCGCAACTGGGACCACGAATGGGACGTTGACTAAAGGCGGCTGAGCTGACATCTGTCGATGGGTCAGGCGTACCGTCGCTTGTTGGTACTGGATCTGGGCCCGGATTTCGGGTTGTTTTCTTTCCATTGGCATCCAAGCGTGCTGGGCGTTACCCGTCAGGGTTCATAATTTAAATTTTCTTTTTGACAGACTGCTACTCTCTGGTTCATGTGCATCGCGCATAGCATGCGTGCCCATCACTTCGGCAACCCCGAATGGTTTGAAAGAAAGTTAATATTGGTGACTTGCAGCTCCCACAGCCCTCAAGACCCCTCAATCGCGCACGGCTTCTGTCGCAGTTCGCTAGGTCCTGGCGTGCGTGTCAAACTATAGTGACTATGGCTAGTCTGATTGCGTCCATGGATGCAGGCGTCGGATGCTCGCTTCCTAGTCCCAATAAGAACGCCAAGAAGCAAACATCACGATGGTTACAAGCTCCGAGACTCCGCCACCCCAATCGCAAGCCTTGACCCCGCTCATCTCGACGTCTTTCGACTCATGTACCCCGGATTGAAGACTCACTCTGCCCTAACACGAATCGTGATTTCCCGACTACCGTCGCATAGGGACGACGCCACACTGCGCTATGGCCTGCAATTGGGCTTTGGGTGAATGCAGAGCAGCCCCAGACTCAGCTCAGATGCGAACTACTGACGCCATAGGTTCATGTGACGATGGCCTCGAAGCGACAGAGTGACTTGTTCCTCCAACCAAGCGATCCGCAATGCACTCCTACGTCAACTGTAGGCTTCTCCGCAAAGATCGGCTCAATGCCGGTTAACGAGCGTGTGGAGAGGGAAATTAAGCCATGCCGTAGGTTTGGCCTTGAGCACGGTGTTCTCGATTCTGCAAGCACTCGCTCTTCTGGGGTCATGATTCGTCAGATCCGGTACGCAGCTCGTTCCGAGCATGTCGAGCCGACAGCATTACTAGGTACATGTCATTCGGTTGCTGGATTTACGAAGAAGCTTGCCAAAAGCCAACGTGGTCGCATAGCTTGGAGGCGCCCAGTACAGTGAAACTGCGGGGCCCCACCTCCACGACTTGAAGGCCTAAACCTCTCCAAAATCTAGCGGTTAACGTTTAGGGCTAGATTAGGCCTGGGTCACTTCATGCTCGTGGAACTCGGAGTTTAGGCTTGACAGTCGTCCTCGCTGTCCGGTCTGCGACTCCTCTCCCCGCAACATTCACAACGCTTTGCGACATAGTAGTGTGATTCCCTGCTGACGTCTGTCTTCGAGACACCATCCCCCGTACATACCAAAAGCGACACCATCGATGGCCAACGAAAGATCGGCAGCACCTGATAACAACATGAGCGAACAGCGCTCACCGGAACCGGCCTCGAAAGCCGGCAGCAAGCAGGAGCAGAATACATCGGAGAAGGGCTCCACGAAAGGGAAGTCTTCAAAACCTCGACACAGGGCGTCAGTCGCTTGCGCGTCGTGCCGAGACCGCCGGATACGAGTATGTCTGTTCTATCTGCTTCCACGATACGTTTTGACAACTTTGCAGTGTGTAGTACCTCCCGGCGAGACAGAGTGTACACAGTGTAAACGATCAGGGGTGGAATGCGTCATCAAAAACGACGACGAACGACGACGGTATGTAATGTGTCTTTACTGACTGACACAAAGCTGACACATGTACAGACCTATCTCGAGGGCATACATGTGCTCTCTCACCGATCGCGTAGCACTACTAGAGACAATGCTGAAGGAGCGAGGCGAAGAGCTACCCCCAGCGAATCACCCTCCCAAAACCCGCCATAACCCTCAACCCGACGAAGAAGGTACATCACCCACCCAAAAAGCAAGCGAAACCCAAGCGCACAACAACGAAAACCATTCCAGTCCAGGCAGTCAACAAAGCCCACAAGATGACTATCCTGATTTCGAACAGCACGAGATGAACACGAATAGCCCTCGTTTCTCAAACGGTGATGCAGAAAGCGCGGGCTCGCCATCTATGCTACCACCTCCAAAGAAAGATGGCATGGTCAACCGTCTCCTCTCTACTCGTGGCCATCTTAGCTTTGATCAGTTGAACGGCCGCCTCCGCTACTTCGGTCCAACAACAAACTGCCATGTACATTCTGAGTCGGTCAACCCTTTCGGCGCAACACAAGAGATGAATGAACAGGCTCGACGCGCCGACAAGATCATCCGCTCTCTTCCACTGGAAACATACGATTATCTCATGGATCTGTTCTGGCAATGTTACAACCCAGTCATCCATGTTTTGCACCAAGATGCTTTCAACGAAGACCGCGAGATGGGCCATACACAGTTCTATTCTGGGTTTCTGCATGTCTGTGTTCTGGCCATGGGTTACCGTTTCGCAAACAAGGAAAGGCTCGACATCAGAAGAATCGGTTTACCGGGCATGGAGAGCACTTTACATCGCGAAGCAAAGTACATGCTTGATCATGAGCTGGAAAGGCCGGGTGGGATACCGAGCGTAGTTGCATTACTTCTGCTAGGCGACCTCGAGTGCGGCGTCGGTAGAGATAATCTGGGCTGGATGTACGGCGGGATGGCTGTGCGACTTGCTTTCGATATCGGGTATGTTCTACTGGAAGATGTCTCAGTGATATACTAACGTCTACATAGTCTCCATCTCGATACACGACTCTCAGGTCTCCCAGAACGCGAGGTCGAGATCCGCCAAATGACTCTTTGGGCATGCGTCATCTACGACAAATACTGGGCACTTTTCTTGGGCCGGCCGACCTCGATGAAGCCTTCCGATCTTGAAATATACAACTTGACAAAGCAGTTTGAGCGCCTTGGCACCTGTCGACCGGCTGGACTGGGGAAGAGCATGGAGACCATGATCTACGAAGCACTCCTCGATCTTATGGAGCTCGCAGGAAAGATCACCGAGAATATGGATCCGCATCGCTCGCAGCACGCTGCTTCCGACTCGCACACCGCCGTAGATCGAAATCAGTATATGCGCATGGCAGCGCTGGACCGCGAGTTCAGCAGTTGGTACGCTAGACTACCCGAGCAACTGCGCTGGACACCAGCCAACATTGCGACTGCTCCATTCTCGTTCTTCTTGTTGCATCAACAGTATCACGCCAGTCTGATCTTGCTACACCGACCGTTCGCCTTGTATGAAGACCAAGCGGGCAACGAGAGTGGCCCTGACGACCATTTCTCCGCGTTGAGTAGGACAGTATGCACTAAGCATGCTATTCGCGTAGCAAGGATATACTGGCAACATCGACAGCGATTCGATACGAAGCAAATATTCGTTACAGGCATGCAACACGCGGTATGTAGCAGCTAAAACCTTTCATCTCTCGCTAACAATTTTCCGCAGGGCACAGCGGCGACCGCACTCGTAGCAGCGTTGGCGTTCATAAAAGACCCCACTTCCAGAGCCAACAACATGCAGTACCTCGAATGTCTATCAGCCGCGCTTTCCGACATGGCATCCACCTATCAACCTGCGGAACGGATGTCTACCGTACTCCGTGCGGTGATGGTAGAGCTACGCGGCGGCCCCGAGCCCCCCAACTCTTCGTTCAACTTGTACAAGCCCGCATCCTCGACAGTACCCGCGCGAAGAGGCAGCACAATAGATATGGACGCCGACATGAACGACAACCAGCAGTGGGCCAAGAAAAGGCAGACCAGCAGCGCAAGACCTAGAGCCGGTACAGGCGGAAACAGAAAGACGAGAACAATGAGTATGAGTACTACTATGAGCATGCCGTCTGATCAAGGGAGACATGGGCTCAGCATCAAAGCTCCTCCGCCACCCCGGTTCGACGACCCAATTCAAAACAACGATGGGTACGTATTGGTGACGCCACGTTCGGAACTCGGTAGTGTTGGCTGGCCCAGCATATCGGAACCTCCTGAGCTTTCTCACAACATGTCTACGCCCTCCACCACCCTTTCTTCTTCACACATGAACCGGAACTCTGGGGCCTGGATGGGCGCAGACTTTGATCCTCACGATCCGATTTCACAACTTGCTAATGCGCATTTCCCCGAGCTGAGCGCGTTTGATGATCTTGGTACGGGTGGTAGTGGTGGTGTTAGTGGCGGTGCGATTGATGGAGTGAATCTGGATTTCATGCCATTGGGGGATGGAAACGAGTGGAGTCTACCCAAAGAATGGAACGGGCCGAGTGATATGGATGGGTTGAGTGCTTTTGATATGTAGTGTGTGCTTGCGAGCCGCGAGTTTATCTGATAAGGAACTGTGTTAATCCTCCTTGATATCGATGACGGCATCTCTCCCCATACTACCGTTCTTCTCTTTACTATGGTCCGAGTGCTCGTCATCGGCTACAACAGTCCCCAATCGCGTCAGCCCACTTTCCCTCCCCTCTCCCATCCTCTCCACCATGCGCTGAATATGCGGATGCGACGGCGCAGGTCTCTGACTTGATCTCCTCCTTCCCATGCCCACCCCAACCCCCATAGGCATATGCTCTGCCCCTCTAAGTCGTAACCGCATACCCTCTTCCGTCGACATGGTCCTATCTACGCGTCTTGGGGGCTCCAAGTCTGTGTCATTCGGGATCTTTAATTGCGGCCTCGGTCGTAGCCATCGCCACAATTCTTTCGTTTTCTGGGCCCAGATACTGTAGCCGTATTTCGTGGAGAGGAAGCCGATTATGCTGAAGAAGGGAATGCAAATCGTCACCAAGACGATGGCGAATGGCGTGAAGTTTGCTGGACTTTCGGGCATGTTTGTCATGCCGAAGACGGAAGTTACGAATGTGAGAGGCTGCCGATTAGTTAGTTGACTGTTTTGCGCGAGATCCAGAGACTTGATCTGTTCACGTACCATGAAGAAAAGATTGACGATGGTCAAGACTTTGATGTTGTACCCTTGGTGCACGGTGACATCTGCTAGCTCAACGGACTTCCTGGACTCTTGGATGCTAGTACCAGAGAACAACTGCTCCTGCAATGTTTCAATCTCATGCCGTCTTTCATTATTTTCCGAGATGATGATCCTAAGCTCTTTCATTTCCCGTTCGAATTGAAGCCGCAATGTCCGCAAACGGCGCTTCCAGTGATCGTTGCGTGGCGATTCCTCGAAGAGCGGCCAGAGCGTCTTGTTCTGGCCTTCCCAGATATCGTCGGTGAAACAGTCTTCGAAAGCGTCGATCATGGATTTGATGCTGTTGTTGACATTGCCCAAGGTTTGATGTGCGTAGAAGTATCTGCGGATCCAGGTGAAGTCTTTGTCCTCGAACAGTCGGGCTCGGCGCAACTCTTCGCTAAACAGGAAGCCTAGCGGTGGAGTAACTAGGTCGGTGATACGCTTGTAGATTTCGTCGAATCGCTTCCTAGCATCCCGATATTCCGTCAGCAAAGCATGGAGGAATGCCTCCGCGCCATTGAGATACTTGTGGCCGGTTTCGAATGTATATGGCGTTCCATTAGCTGGTGTCGACTTCCAGTCCGGGAAACTCTCCAGCTGTAAGACTTGCCATGGCGACCAGACATCGTGCACCCATCCGAACTGTGTCTTCGCACGTCTTCCCCTATTACGGATGCGGCGTGGTTTGTCGTCATAAAGGACAAGCGCAACGACAGCACTGCACCGCGAAAGTGGTATATGATGATCAGACTGACCCGTTATTTTGTCCGCACGCTGCCATTGCATGGGTTGACAGTCATCTCCCACGATGGTATAGTATTCGAAGTTGAAGAAAAAGGTCCTTTGGTGTTTAGGATTCTGATTGAAGGCTCGGAACATATGCGCTGATGAAGCTTCTGTTTCGACTAGATGCTGGAATAGTTCGTCCATGTCAAAAGCATCATTAAGCGTCAGATGAAGTGCACCAAACAAGATTGGTGAAGGTTCTCGCGCTATGGTGATACGTCCAACCACTGTTTGGTCCGGCTGCTTGCCAACGTCTCTCAGTGCATGCCAAATCTCAGTTGCGCGGCTCATGTTGTTTTCGGGGCCAGTCACTTCAATAAGCTCAGGCAGACCGTTGGTTCCGACATTGTACACTTGGAAATGTGAGTAATGGCTTCGGTCATCTGCTGGCCCGGGCCCCATGTGGAAGAGATGAGATTGTTTGGTGAGCTTCGCGGGATCAGAAATGATCGAGGCCAGAATCTCTCTGCCATGTTCAGTCCAGTTATGCGTCTTCAGATGTTCGCGCAAATGTTCGTGGTCGAACGAATGGGACGGTAATTCGTTCTGGACAAAATAGTCGTCTTCTTCATCGCTGCTGTCGTCAGATAGCGTCGAGGTATCGGCGAAGATAGCATCGCCTCCATGTCGTGTGGATGTGCGGCGAAGTTGTGAGGCGTCGGATGGTTTGAAGGTGTCGTTCGTTGCTGATAAGCTTTTCAATAGCGCCTCATGGGAGCGTTGGAGCGACTCTAGCTGCTTCCGAAGATCGTCAATCTCAGTCGTTGCCATCTGTAGTGTTCAAAGCCGTGCGACCCGACATGTGATGGCTATTTTCGAAATCGAACTTTACAGAAGGTTCTGCTTATGTCGTGTAGGATTGTTAGGATCCGGCCCCCACACTAGCGCTGCAGGAAGCCCAGCCTTTCAATTCAGCATTCGAGTTTCCCATCCAATCTTCATCTATGCCAAGGTGGAGCTAGGGTGGAGCTGGGTCCAGAGCCGCGGTCAGAAGAGGGGCCATTGGCCTAATGCGTAAATGCACACCGGTCGTATGAAGGAGTTGTGAGGAAAATATGCAACCCGCCTGCTTAGGTTCGCTCACCGCCCTTTTCCAATTGGACATGCTCATGTCGCGAGCCAGTTCAGATCGAGCAGTCGAGCACGAGGGCTGTCTCCAACAAAATAAAGATGATTCCGTGTCGCGGGTAGAGGCTCTTCGGGTAGCCCTGCTGCTTTGTCGAGATCTCGGGAGCGGGGAGCAGAGCCGGCGCGACCGTCCACATCACGTGACCATTACGGAGCTGACTTCTAGACTTCTCAGTATGGTTACATTGTCGTCATTTTGCCTGGGTGAGCATCTGCGCATCTTGTAGACGACACGACCTGACGCAACTTACTTTGGAATTCGAGACGCGTCGGGCCACGATGTCGATTTTCTTCGGTCGCGTCATCGGCGCTCGCTTATCGATTGCCAAATTTCCTTTGCCCGTGATCTTCGTGACACCAGCCCCCCCAACATTGCCCACGTGAATTGAGAGGGCATGATGCCTACCCTTTCCACTTTCCTTTCGGTATCGCTGCCTGTGATTCTGGCTGCTCTGATTTATCAGCTAGGGCTGCCGGCTTTCATCAGCGAATACGTACCATCCACGTTGCTTCCAAATCTCTTCGTACCCACATACTGCTACAAGTCTATCAGAACGCTTTCGTCGGAGTTCCCGCATGCCGAGTGCTTTACCATCCACGACGGCAAATTCTCCAGTGTCTTCGTAGACAATGCAGCCCCTGATACGGTCAAGGAATCCCGCACAGGTTATGTGTATCCTGGTTTTTGGGATGGACACGGTCACTTGATCCAGTTTGGAGAATCTCTAGATTCAGTGAGCCTCTTTGGCGCCGATTCAATGGACGAGATCAAGAGGAGACTGTTGAATTATAAGAACGTCCGTCCAGAAAAAGGAAATAGTGAACAGTGGCTACGTGGCGTCGGTTGGGACCAAGCTCATTTTGAAGGGAGGTGGCCGACTGCAGTACGTTGGACCTGATGAACGTAGACGCGCTGTAACGACCGTGCTGATACTGACACTTCATCTAGGCTGATTTGGAGATAGATGAGAGGTTTAAGGATCTTTATGTTATGCTTGATCGTGTTAGTTGTCCGTGCGAAATGGGAGCGACACATATACTGACTTCGCGCAGGTTGATGTTCACTGTATCTGTGAGTCAGCCCTGCAAATTGAGCATGAGGTTGATCTAATCCAGTGGTTTCATCTTAGGGGTATCTGAAAAGGTGCTTGACCTTCTTCCGTCGTTCAGTATACCTCCCGGCGGCGAAGTGCCGGCAAAGGGTGTCTTCTGCGACAATGCCATGGACATCGTCCTGGAGTATTACCCAAAGCCGACCAAAGCGCGCAAAACCGAGTTCATTAAGACTGCGATGGCAGAGTTGAACAAACATGGAATTGTTGGGATGCACGATGCCGGCGTAGTGCCGGCAGATTTGGAGCTATACGAAGAGCTCGCGAACGACCCGGACTGGACTGTGAGAGTTAATGCGATGATCGAATGCGATGTCCGAAACACGTTTTGTCCCGAGGCGGTCAGGAAAGTTTCGACTCCAAATGGCCGATTTCATGTGAAGAGCGTCAAGCTTTTCGGAGGTTTGTATACACGGC